ACGGAAATATTTATAATGATAATGACAGCAATAGTTGGTTGCATCGCTATTATCACAATAATCTCGGTGTTTGGAGTAATAGTGAGGGTCATATCAACGGCCAAATGGCACCGAAAGCGACAAAATCTACGCAAAAGACTGGAACTGATCGATAGGACATCCGATCAAAAGACAACTATTTTGGATAAAAACTTATCGTTTACTTTATGTGATAATAAACCCAACAATGAAAGCAATCGGCGGTCACTTCTGGTACTGTTTGGTTGGCTTTTCTCCAAACAAAAACATTTAGACAAATACCGGAAGATATATCTCGAAAAAGGCTTTGATGTACTGACAGTCAGATTGAACGCCAGCGACCCTCTTATGCCTCGCATTGGGAGTCAACTCGTGGCCCAGACTCTGGTCGACTGTCTCGGCCATCTACAGGACCGGTACGACGGGTATGTGTTTCACATATTTTCTGTCGGCTCCTACCTATTGGGCGAAGTGACTGTACGTCTGTATGAGCCGGAAAACGAGGCAATTAATCGTCGGACGTGTCAACTACTTAAGGGTATTGTATTTGACTCGGCTATTGACGCTCAGGACGCGGCCATCGGTATATCCAGCGCCTCCACCACTAACCCAGTGCTGCGCAAAATTATATACTTGATCTTAAAATCATATGAATTACTATTTTACTACTTTGTGACCAAACACTGGTTTCACGCCTCAAACACATACAAAGACAGGTTTCCCTTCAGGTGTCCGATACAGTACTTTATGTCCGAGAATGATATTGTGGCCAATCCTGACAACACTCGGGCTGTCATTCAGCTCTTCCGGAGCCGAAACTGTGTTATTCACGAGAAATGGTGGAAACGATCGCTTCATGTGAGCCACTATTTTAAATACCCCGATGAATATATGCAGCATTTGAACAAATTCTTGCAATTATGTAACTACTGATGAATCATTAATGATAATAAATTTTTATTTTAGTTTATTTTTAACTACTGGTCTTTTTCTAATATCTTTAGATTTATTTTATCTGTTGATATTTTATTGAGTTTATTTAAGATAATAATTTATATGTGGATATTTAGTTTAGTTTTTTATACTGTTATTTAAAACTGTTATTATTAATATTTCAATTATTTTGTATTTAAATTGTTTTGTATTTAAATTCTTAATGAATTAATAAGTAATCAACAAAACCACACATTTATTATTTGTTAATGATTCTTATGTGATGTGTAATATTAGTTGCAATTAAAAAATTGAAATAATTTTAATAAAAACTTATATTTCTTAATATATTCACCAAAAAAACAAGAGTTATTTAGCAATAAATAGCGGTTTTTCGATAAGTTATTAAAAATATTTATAAATAGATTAAAAGTAAAACATGATTAGTATTTATCAATAGGAAATGTAGGGAAATAAAAATTAATGAAAATCATGGTTTTTATCAGGTAAACGAGTTTAATATCAGAAATAATCTAAATTTTATTGAGATAACATTTCAATAAAACATACCATCATTAATATTTACAAAACTTGTAATTATCAGTTTTATCAATAATGCCAATGAATTACCACAAGTATTCTTGAAATACAACGTGTTTGATATGTTAATTGTGTGAACACAAGTGTCAAACGCCCGACATATCATTCATATCGGACAATGAGGTGACAGTCCATATGAGCAACACATTAGCCATTATTATCCAATGGCAAAGAATAGCCACTCAAGTGATACCAGAGTTGCCTCAATAAATATACAAGATATATGTCAAATATATAACTCAATTTAGTCTTTAATTAATTTAATTAGTTCAATTATCTTGGTTATACTTCACAATATGTACAATATTATTTAATAAAATCGGGCAACAATTAAATAATTAAATGTATTTTTAATTGAAATTTTTCATATGAATTCACTACAAAAATCACTTAAACAAAGTAAATGCAAAATAGTTATTATAATAGATAACTAAAATGCACTTGAACAAATTAATAATACAGTTTTACATTATTTAATTAAAAAGTTGATGGATTTTAGGGAGGATTTTGTAATCTCAAGCCTTCATCTCGTGATACTAAACACTGATAATAGACATTGAGAAAAATGAAAACATAAAAAACCCTCGATGTAATTATATTTTTCATAATACACTTTATAAATGTCTTTACATTTATTTTTTATAAAACAGTATTCATTATATTGTAATTGACTTTTCAATGCCTAAAGGAAACCAGTTTTAGTCAAAACATTTTTCCCCAAACCCTACACTGTATGACAATGTTGTACATAAACCAAACAGATTATGGTTGTATTACACGTACTGTAAAACATATTTCCTAACAAATGTTTGTTATTTTAGTTTATAAAAGGCATTAATCAATAAATCAATTCAAAAATTGCAATTATGATTTCCACGATTGTGTATATCGTGTCTGTTGTGACAGTAATTGCATATTTGGTCACAATTATTGTCAAACGAAAAGTGCGGAAACAGTTGCAAACACTTCGGCAACGGTTGGAGGAGATGCCCGACCAGTCTCTCGGTCTCTCCCAACGGACTATTGTGTTGAACAGTAATCTAACCCTAAGTTTCTGCGACACTACGGGTGAAACGGGTGGCGGAGATCAAGCGACGGTCGGCCGGCGGTCACTGGCAGTCATATTCGGCTGGATGTTCGCCGACGAGAGACATCTGGAAAAGTTTCGCCGCTATTATTACGACAAAGGGTTTGACGTACTGTCGGTGCGGACACATGTGTGGGACCCGTTGGTGCCGTCGGCGGGCGCGCAGATCGTGGCTCAGGGTGTATGCGATTGCCTCCAGACCCTCACCTCCCGGTTCGGCTATAAGCAGTACGTATGGCACGTGTTCTCCATCGGCACCTATCAGTCCGGCGAAGTGTTTGTACGGCTTTGTCGACCGAAAAACGAGTCGCTGGCCGTCGACGTGAAACACCGGCTCCGGGCTGTGATCGTCGACTCGGGTATAGACGTGTGCGACGCGCCGCTGGCCTTAGCCATGGCCTCCACACAGCACTGGTGGCTGCGTTTGGCTATCATAGGTATAATGAATTGGTACTCGTGGGCGGCCGACCGACAGGTGGCCCGACACTGGAGGGCGTCGTCCGATACGTTCAAGCGTTGGATCCGCTGTCCGGTCGCCTATTTTATATCGGAAAAGGACGCGGCGGCCAACCCGGCCAACACCCGCACACTTATCGACCGGTGGAAAAATGCCGGGCAATCGGTCAACGAGTACTGGTCTGCGCGCGCGGCACACGTCGACCTCTATCGCGAAGATCCTGAAAAGTACGTCAAGTGTTTGGATGAGTTTTTCCACCAACATCATATCGCATGATTTACATTGTTGTTAGCCTAATAATTAATTAATAATTAACTATTTTAATAAATTTATTATTTATCATTAATTAATAAGTTATTTCTAATTAACATTTTATTTAACAAGTTTTGTATTGTAACTAAGTGTAATTTTTAGTAGTTTTTATATTTAACTTGTAAATCACATTAATTAGCTGTTTTTGAAATATTATTTTGAGATATTTCCTACTTACATTTTTTAAATAGAAAATAACAAAATAAGGTAATATAAAAGTATACGGCACCCGGTATTGCCAAGTAATCTCCCGGTACTAATCCTTATTGACTGCTTACTTTTGGTGACGTAGTTATTATGTTATCAGTTGGTTGTAATTTTATTATATAGTTGACTTACGACTTGTTAGTACTTTTAATTAATAAACAGACAATCATTAATTTTAAATTGATTTTATATAACACTTTTTAAATGTTTAATTAAATAAGTAAAATTTAATTACAAATATTAAAAATATATTACAACAACACATGTTAAACATTATGGTTTGAATTTACCAATGATAGATTTACACGATCTAATCGTAATATTATTTACAAATGTAAAAATAAAGACGATTATAATGTTAACATTGTGTTTACATATCACGTGTGTTCAATATAATTGTAATTATTTTATGCTTTGTGCATTAATTTATTCAAAAACAAACAATTTTTACATTTTATAAACGCATAGAAAATGTACGTACGGTGTATATACAGTAGTGTACGTCAAGTCATCTAATTAAATCGTTATAATATTAGTGGTTTCCCCGAAATAATACGTCTAAGTAATCAACATGTAAAAATAATTACTTTAATAGTTATCAATGACAATTATTTTCCTAAGACAAAATTAATACTATTAACACAAAATAAATTAAATATATAAAACTAACTGCAAGTTCTCTCTACTCATTCATTTGTATTGTGTTTTTGCGATACAATATTGTGTTCACAATACAAAAAACAATGACTGAATCGGGCCTCCAGTGGGACAAAGTGATTGACCAGTGGCTGGTCTCCAAAGTCAGTCAATACGTAGGCAATGACTCGAGCCTATACTACTACGTGCACGAGTACTGGGAGACGGGTGCGGACCCCCGTTCCCAACATTACCCGTTGGTCGGCATATCGGGCGTTGGCATTATGGCACTCAATTTCTTGTATCTATTCATCGTATTTGTATTAATACCAGAATATATGCGAAAAAAGCGACCCTATTCGCTCAAAAACACCATGATTGCCTACAATGTGCTACTGGTCAGTTCATTATATACTAATTTATAATCTATAAAATTTGAAACCTATATTTATATATTAATAGCCAATCACACCAACTATTTAAGTTAATTATAAATTTATTAAATAATAAGATGTGTATACCTTTAGGTACTAATAAATGGATACTTTTTCCTACGAGTGCTGTTCTTCACGACACGATTGGGTCGAGAGATGTGGAACTTCACGAACCCTAAGGACGACACGTCGCCGAAGGCCATCGACTTTATGGACACCGCATATCTCTACTACTTATCCAAAATCGTCGACTTTTTTGACACCTTTTTTATGGCCCTCAAGAAGAAGACCAATCAAATCACCGTGCTCCATGTTTGGCACCATATGTCCATGGTGGGCGCCGGATGGATGTTCATGCGCTATAATCCATGTAATCATTGATTCGACTTTATTGTTAATATATATAGTTATAAATATTAACCATAATTAATTACCATTAACTAGATATGCCCACCTGCGCTATCATACCCATTGTTAATGGCTTTATACACGTAGTTATGTATGGGTACTATGCGTTGTCCGCTTTGGGACCACAGTATCAAAAATACTTGTGGTGGAAAAAGTACATCACTCAGATACAATTGACTCAGTTTATTATACACGTGGTGTGGTTTACGATTGTATGCATTAAGCAGGTTGATTTGCCCTTGGGCTATTTGGTCGCCAATCTCGGCAACGCTATCGCACTCTTCACACTATTTGCAAACTTTTATTTCCGGGCGTATAATACAGAGGAGAAAGTCTCAAAATCCGATTAATTTGCATTAATAACGATTAATGCATGCATTTATACACAAATTTTACAAAAGTAGATCATTTAATAAAAGGATATAAATTAATAATTAGTTGTATATTAATTTAAATCAATTTTTTAATTTAAAAATGTCATTTTGTACAATAATAAATTAATTAAGCAAAGAATTATACATCGATACTTATTATTAACATAATTATAAATACTAGTATAATTATTGTACCTATATAAATTAATATAATTCAAATCACATTTTCCAAAAAAGAAACAAATTAATTTATTATAAATTAACTATAATCGTGCGGTTAAACCATTGATATAATAATTTTTATTAAAGGATTAGTTTCTAATTAAATCTAATGTCAAAAAATAATCATACATTGTAAGAAATTTAATTATTTATTAAAAATAAACTTTTAATTATATTAAATGTTAGTTATAAACAGATTCATTAAGCTCAATCAATTTCTCCACGTCTTCATCCTCGCAACGAATATCACTCAACCATTGATTCCTATACTTTACGCCTATAAAGACATCGTTTAAATTAATTAAAATAAATTCTTAATTTAAATTTAAAAATATTAATTAAGGTAAAAAAGCAAAACTAATTAAAAAGATCTCATTAATTAACTAGATAATAATTAGTCACAAAATAAACCTAATTAAATATGATTGGATGACTAAATGACTCACTCGTAGACTCGTCGGCGTTGTGTTTATCGGTAGAGACGCCGATCTTCCGGAGCCCGGCGTACGCTCTTATCTGCACATAGTTTTCATTCATGTAATTGCGGTAATCATTAATCGCTTTATTTAGCCATTTGTTAGCCTCCGGAGCGTTGTTGAGCTCCAACTCCACTAATCCTAACTCCAGTACCGCCTGCGGAGGGATTGAGTGCTCGCGACAAATACGACCCTCTCTTCGCAAATTTTATTAATGTATAATTTATTTAAAATATTGTATTAAATACTTACTCTTCAAAAACAATTGTCTGACAATTTTTTGCTTCGCTATATTGTCCGAGAAGTCTGTGGACGACTCCCTTATAAAACAGTACCGTTAAATAGTTGTCCAAATAGTCACTTGTTTCTAACATTTAATGACAATTTGTGAAATATTTAATTACTTACAATATGTTCAATAACATTAATTATCTCATTTAAATACTTAAATCGGGCGCATATTTCTCTAATTCAGCCACAATTCTCTTCATATACTTATTCAATAGCAGAGAATTACCGGCGATAAACGACAAATAATTTAATTGATATAAAATATCCTATAAATATATTATACTTTAATTAATATTTAAATTGATTAAAATATAGGAAATTTACTAAAATAAACAATATTGTATACCATATCGGGTAATACAGCGCTCTGATCGGCATTTATAGTGAACTTCTGTGCGGACACGACTGCCATCTTCTCTACAGTCAATGTTTTGCCAAAATATCGGACGCGAACTGACGGCACAATTCTGTTCGCCAAATACACAGAATATTCTTGTTTTTTTATTTTGATAAAATATAATTTTCAATTTATGACAACTATTATATTTAATATATTTAAACAAATATACGTGTCATAATTTTAAAGTAAACCTACCCGAGCAGTTTGACAGCAATATCCATTTCCTGTGCGTTGTCTTCATTCACAGCCTTTACATACCGACAGACGGCCTCTATATATGTGGTAAATGCGGGCGAATGGACGGTCCCTTTGCGCACCCGTTGGGCGTATTTAATGCATTCAGTGAATTGATTTCTCAATGCATTTGATATGATTAATTCAAACTGAAAACATTTTGACATTAAATCAAACTCGTATTCTTCTAGCAATTTTTGATAGATATCTATCGACTCGTCGATACGGCCACTGATTTGAGCCAATTTGGCCTTAAATGCCAAATACACACCACACTAATGAAAGTAGAGAGAGAGAGAGAGAGAGAGAGAGAGAAACTATTAAAAATTAATATATAATTAAAAGTAATACCTACATTGATATCAATACTATTATCGAGCACTTGGCCGCAAATGTCTACGTGTTTAGGCTTTATATCCATTACGGGCTCTAAGTATGACCAGTAGAAAATGAGGATCATTTTAGCGACCTGACTGTTTACATTGTTGGTCATAAAAGCGGCCTTGTTCAGTTGATCAAAACCCACACTTTCCACTCCGGCCACACCTATTAGATTGATTATACGCAACAACTTTGGCGGTATATGACTGATAAAGAGGTGCGACAGACCGCTGGCCAGCCTATAACCAGACTCGTAGAGTTGCCGCGAGTCATGGTTGACCCAGGTGTGTTTGCGCCGGTATAGTTGCCGGCAAACTCTGTTCAAATGACACAATTCAATTTAAAATAATTAATATTTAATATATTATGTCTATCATATAAAAACATTATTACTTCAAACAATTGATAAATCTTTGCAAAAGAAATGCTATTTTGATTAATTCAAGAATACTATGTGTCTGTAGTGCACACACAAAGGCACTGATGCACAGTCCATAGGCGTACAGCAGCTCCGAGTGTGCCTCCACTGAAATTATGATCAATTTATAGCACATATTAATATTTAATTTAGAGTTTAGTTATTTATCAGACATACCATCGGCGTATCGGTAATAATTGGATGAACTAAAATAACTCATTATTGTTAGCATTAAACCAGTTTTACGCTGTTTTTGGCACAATTTTAACAGTTTGTCCACCGCTTTGACGGCCCGATCGACGTCACTCTTTAAGAATTAAGATATATTTAGATTTTGACATTATATTTTAAAATAAAATGAATCACCTTGTGTTTAGTACCAAGGGCAATTAGCAATTTCCGAATGGCTACTAAATAACTATCGTATAGAGGCTTGAATTGGGCGAGTGGGCCCTCCCTTTCCATTTGATCCGTTTTGGTTAACACAGCCATGAATTCATTGACCAAAACAAGTGACTCGCAAAATGATTGTCTTAAAAAATATATGAAGTTAATAATTAAATATTCATTTAAAATATAATAATACATAAAATGACCATTTTATAACTTACTCTTGACCATCATAATTATCATTGTAATTGTTATTACTATCATCAACGTTGATCATGTTTAAATTCTTTATGCAATCAGATAACGTTAATTCAATAATTTGTTTTTTTATGTAAAAATGTCTATTGAAAAGGTAGAAAGCGATCAAAACACATCAAAGTAATTATAAATAATCTACAACCAAGTATTTAATTAAACTATTTAATGATAATAATTTCAACGGTAAAATCTATTTTCCACATTAAAACTAATGACTTATTATAATTAATATTAATTAAATACATTTTAAAATGCAATAATTTTCCCCACTATTATTTGAAACAAATTTAATACTTTATTAATTTACATTATAAATTAACTAACTTGTAAGACAAATAATAGTTCTTTTTAAAATATAAAATGTTAAAATTTTTATTAATAAAAATTGTATTTTAAATATCAATATTATTATTAAAATTTATAAGTTAAAGTTTAACTGTTAAACAAATATAGTGGCAACAATATTTACTAGTTTCTATCTAAAAATTAGTACATTTTATTTTATACCATAATAGATTCTTTTATTAATTTGATTCTGCAAAATTAATTAACTATTTAACGTCTATATAATAATTTTGAATACATTAAAATAAATTTTCATAAGTAATAAAACATAAAAATTACACAAATTAAGTGAATTTTAATTCATAATATAACTTCATAAAATTAGTGTTAAACACAATAACTCTAAAATCTAATAATTTTTAACAAATCAAACACACAATAAAGTACGGCATAACTTATGATCATTTTATTAGAAAAGCTATACTCCGGCGCTATTTGGATAGACATCCGGACATTCAAACACTGAGTTCTGATTCCTTAATGATAACACTTTCCACTTCTTCTCCTTCTTTGCGAATCTCTTTAAGCCATTCATTCTTATAATCATTATCTAAGAAGTAAACAAATACTAAATATACGGCAAACAGATTTCATGTAAATATGAATGCATACGAAGTGATTGATCGGCGCTTTGCTTATCGGTTGAGACACCGATCTGTCGGAGAGCGGCGTAAGCTCTCAAATGAACAAAGTTTTCATTCGGATAATTGTGGTAATCATTAGTCGCTTTGTTTAACCATTTGATAGCCTCCGGAGCGTTGTTGAGCTCCAACTCCACTAATCCTAACTCCAGTACCGCCTGCGGAGGGATTGAGAACTCGTGACAGATTCGGGCCTCACTTTCCGTATGTAATAAAACAAATTTGTAATTATGTTAATATCAAAGAGAGAGAGAGAGAGAGAGAGAGAGAGAGAG